AGGCGAGCAGTCCCCGCCGAGCACCCAGGCCGTCGGCGTCGGCTCACCGAGCTGCGCCAGATGCCTGCGCACGCTCGACAACGTGAGCACGGTGCACGCCGTTCCTTTACCAACCGCCATCGCCTGCAGCATCCCTCTGGGATACCCCTACTTCATGGGCTTCGCTGCGCCTCAACAGGGCTACCAAATCAGCCCCGGTGCCTTGGGGCAGATCTCCGGCTCGCTGTCACGCAGTGCGCCAGCACCTTCGCCTGCCGGCCTCCTGACGCACCAGGCCGTCGCTCTGCCACCAGACCTGGGAGGCATCCCCCTCGCCACATTCCGCTCTCTGGCAGCAGCTGCGCCCGCAGCGGCTCCTGCATGTACGCCGCCTACACCGCCGCCTCTACCGCCGCCAACGCCGCCGACAATGGCGCACGCGCTGGAGCGCTGGTGGACGCGCGCCGAGGAGCTGGAGCTGCTGCGGCCCAGTGACAAGGCTCATTTGGAGGCGGTGATGGCTATCCTCGCTATGTCTGCCTGAGCTGCATCGGGCATGCTTGTGGAGCAGCAGCACGTGCTCTGGTGCAGATGCGCTTCGCTCTAGGCTTCGCTGGTCCGTCCATCAAGGCGGAGCTGCGCAGCCGCACGCACCGAGACGCACATGCCGGACGGCTCCATCGACATCACCGACTTCTCCGCCGGCCGCAGCCTTGGGCTGCAGCAAGCGGCGCCGGTGCTATTTCTTCTCTCCACCACCACTTGCTCTACCGCTGTACAATGCTCTCTACCCCTGTACAATCCATGAATCAATGGTGGCGTGCCCACCCGAAACCGTGCGCGGTCGCTGCTCCGGCCTGCCGTGTCGCTCGGCCCAAGCGGGGCGGGTGCCACACACGCCGACGCCTTCTCTCCTCGGTTAGCGCGGCGGGTCTTACAGACCACGCCTCCCTCTCCCCCTCGTGGGCGCAATGCTACACAGTCACAGAGCGACCTCTTCCACGTTTTTCCTTCACCGGTACCGCTCTGCAAAATTTGATACATAGACTAACATCGATGGTTCTTTTGGCACAGCTTGTATGAAGCTAGGCTTGAAGCGACTCCTCCCTGGGTAGAGGCCTGGTCTGTATGGTGCAGATGCTCAGGCCACACACACACTCACACACACACACGGTCTGTATGTATGTATGTATGTAGAAAGATGAGCAACAGTCGGGCTCAGACTGGACACCAACGCGGTATGGGTGGACGCAGGACAGATGATGACGACACGCACGAGCGACACACAGACACAAACAAGCTCACTGTATGGTGCGCCCGCCACGCCTACCCCTCAAAGAGCCGGAACCCAGCGATGATGGTGAGTGCTCGAGTGCTTGGCAGCCCCCCTGGGGCACGCAAGCTTAGCAGTGGTGCAGATTCCCTGAGCTGCTCCGACGCGGCCGTGCTAGCGGCTGAGCGAGGCGAGGAGGAGGCGGTGCTGGCGTGGCTCGATAGTGGCGGGCTGGCCGATGCGACGTACGAGAGAAGCGGCTTGAGCGGCCTCACGCTGCTAATGGGCGCCGCCGTGCGCGGCCACGAGCGGGTGGTCGAGTTGTTGCTGCGGCACGGCGCGGAGATCAACCTGCAGGACAGCAAAGGCGGCACCGCGCTGCTGCTCGCCGCCCGCTACGGTCACGAGCGGGTGGTCCAGCTACTGATTCGGCACGGCGCGGAGGTCAACCTGCCGAGTAGCAACGGCGGCACCGCTCTGATGCGCGCCACTCACTACGGCCACGAGCGGGTGGTCGACTTGCTGCTGCGGCACGGCGCGGAGGTCAACCTGCAGAGCAGCATCGGCAACACCGCACTAATGCTCGCCGCCCAGGAAGGCCATGCGCGGGTGGTCGACCTGTTGATTCGGCACGGCGCGGAGATCAACTTGCAGAGCAGCGAGGGCGGCACCCCGCTGATGGCCGCCGCCCTCAACGGCCACGAGCGGGTGGTCGAGTTGCTGCTGCGGCACGGCGCGGAGATCAACCTGCAGAAGAGCGACGGCTTCACCGCGCTGATGTTCGCCGCCCACTACGGCCACGAGCGGGTGTTCGACATGCTGATACGGCACGGCGCGGAGGTCAACCTGCAGAGCAGCGACGGCGACTCCGCGCTGATGCTCGCCGCCTTCCAAGGCCACGAGCGGATGGTCGACCTGCTGCTGCGGCACGGCGCGGAGGTCAACCTGCAGAACAGAAACGGCTACACCGCGCTGATGAACGCCGCCGACGAAAGCCACGAGCGGGTGGTCGAGCTGCTGATTCGGCACGGCGCTGAGGTCAGCCTGCAGGACAGCGTCGGTGGCGTCACCGCCCTGATGCGTGCCGCCTACAGCGGCTACCTCGCCGTCGTGCTCCCCCTGCTTCGGGCTGGCGCGGATACAAAGGCTCGCTCTTCTGACGGCAAGTCCGCGCTGCAGTGGGCCAAGGAGGAGGCGTCCAAGGTGCTAGCTACTGC